ATTAGATTATGTCAGACAGATGAGGTTGTAATTAGAATAAGTTTGCTCAGAAATTTCTATCTGTTTCTCTTTTATTAAATTTCTGGTGTTATTTTTCAAAAAAACACCGAGAAAGGGACTATTATAACAGCGAAAGCATTTTCTAGAATTTTATTTCAAAAAAAAGTTTAAAATTACATCAAAAGGTATTTGTTCACCACGTGGCTGAAAATATCAGTAGGTTTAGAAGCATCTTGATTAAATGACCTGTCATAAATTGTGAGGGAAATGCAAAATGTGGGTGTAAAGTTGCTGACATGAGGCCATGGTAAAACAGGGTACAAATAGGCGAGACTGAAATCACCCTTTTCCCGACAGTCTTCACTAGCCAGTTAGCGAACAAACAAGCATGTGCCTCACTTCTTTCCTTACTCATATCCGACGGCAAATCAGGACTTCTGCGTCAAAGTCCTTATCTATTGAATGCTTATGTTAGGAACTCCACATGACCAGCTCAGAACAAAGATATAGATGGTCCTTGGACTATCGGTACTCTTTCCTGTGTTTGCTACCATTTATCCCCTGTTTTGAACCTTCGCATAATAGCTTGTTGGTTGAATTCATTGAAAGTGGTGCAAGAATCTCCTCTCGACTAATTGCGTTTAACTGGACTCGACAGCTGTAGTTCGTTTTCATCCAATTTGATGACTAAGTGATGAAATAACTTAGTCCTACTTACATCATCAAGGAAGAGAAAGTCAGTAATGGGAGCTGTTAAGGAATGGATGTGGCACACACTAACAGATGAGTAGGCAATGAGCTTCAGAGCATAAGCACCTCAGAATTTTGATTGCTTACCATCTAACTGACTGACCGACTGATTTGTGACGAGAAATGCCTTTGTGTTCCACGGTTAAGCAGAAGAACCTATAATAGGTAGTTGCCAAACCACCAACGACCCTCCACACTTCCAAGGTTCCACCTCGTTCCTCATCCCCAGATGTCTACGTCTACTGTGTTGTGTACTGTAAATGCAATTCATCCCGAGAATTGTTCACCTACTTGAGGCCAAGTGCCGGTTTCATCAGATTATCAAAACAAATGGGTACAAGCTAATTCCAAAAAATGTCCTCTGCAGAAGAGGTCATGACAGCAAAGCTTCATACTGGAGTGAAAGTAGTTACTGTCTCAGCTCATTTTAACTCTGCATCGCTCATATTACTTTCCCATCTTCAAGTGGAATAGACTGTTGAGAAATAAAAGTGAGATAGAAGTAAAGATGAGTAAGGCTAGACTGTTTCCTTCTGGAGCCAAAATTGTCTTATAAAAGAGTCGGATCATAAGCTTAAGTCCCATTTGTAATGGTGATTATCCCAACTAAAACCTTTTTTAAGAACTTTTTTACTGTTATGTGGCTGTCAAGAAAAAGCCAAAGAGACTTACTCGATCATCCTGTGATGAGCTTAAGGTACCGTCTCTTGGTAAAATCTTTTCCACTAAAATTGAATATAGCAAAAAATCCCACGGTCTGTCAAATTTCGCATTCATTTTATCACCTCAATCCAAAGATGCACATAACTAATTTGTGAACTAGGTGAAATTTTTAAATCACATATACAAATAAACAAGTGGGACGTGTAAAAAACGAAGGTAAAGAAAATTTTCCATTAATGTGCAATGAAACCCAGTAACGCCTTTTCCCATTCATTATTTAGAAATGGAGATAATTGCGCACCCTCTATGGCCCGGCTTCTAGCTGATAAGCTGATTTTAAACTGACACATCTCCATAGATTACAGAAATAATAACAACAAAATAGTACGTGGTTATGAAATTTTGGGTTATAAGACATTTCTCGTTTCTACACAGCAACGCTTCAATGATAATTTTTTTTTACCTAGAAGAACACCTAAGTTCAAATTTATAGTTAATTCATTAATTTATGCAAATATCAGGATTAGAAGATTTACCTGAGCTAAATTCTAATTGGCTAATGCGGAAAACTTCTCCTATTTGCAATGAGCTTGTCTGAACTACAAGCAAAATATCTTAAATTATGCGAAATATAGACAGGACCTTAACAACTGAAAGATTAGACGCAGATTCTACTCAAGGTTGCAACAATGGTCTGCAAGGTTATGACGGGCACTAGCTGTGAGTTTCAGTTGTCAAATTGCCTCAAGTTGACTCTGATCTCTTGATAATGACGCCGTTGTTTCAGACTGATCCATTATTTGCAAACAGTCCCTATGGACATCTAAGAGGGTAAAGGAAGGGATGCTGGGCTCAATTTGCAACACTGCCTCTGTACTATGCATTTTACGTGCATTTTATGGTCTCCTTGCACAATGAAATTGGGATGTTGAATGCACTTGTCAGCCTCGAATTAGGCTTTGAAAAGTGTATCCACGGAAATCTGTGAGTAATTTCGCAATTCGATTATCTTGTGATGGTCAAAGTAAAAGAAGGGAAGGATATCGAGAAGCACTGACAATGATGGTTAAATGATGGGAGAGACTATGATATCTGTGCACTCTTTACCTTCTATGATTTGCCTTGCAGTTACCTAGATTTTTTTTATAGATGCGTATTAAATCTGCTCGAGGGGTGATTGAACTTTATAGGTTTCATCAGAAACGACGCGGATCGTACATTAAGCAAATTTAACTGTCCATCGGTGATAACTAACTGCGTGGGTTTTTAATGAATCGTAAACTTTAATAGCTATGCGTGTTTGTGCCTTTATAGCCTTTGCCACTTTGAAAACCGCAAAATAGGTGATACATCTAAGCAAAAAATAAGAGAGGTCCAAGCGAGGAAGTTTTTTAAGCACTTGAAATTACTGACACAGAGAGTAGGTTTCAATTTAAATACTGCATCAGTAAAACAAATCATCTGCGCTCCTCTAAGAGGACGCCATTCGAAAAGTTGTGAACTTGCTGATAAAGTGTGTTATGAATCAGTGAATTTGCACCGATGAGTGGGGGAAAATATCAGAAATGACGTTTTTTGAAATTAACCCTTTCTGTATAGCAAGTACAAAATTTAAAATACCTAGTAAAGTAATACGCTTTTTACCATTTTCCGTATGCTCAAGTTCGTAGAAAGCACAGCTAATATTTGGAATATCTGAGTTGGAGAAGGTAGCGAAGGTTTTTCCTTCTTAATTCATTCAATTTGTGCACCTTTGTTGGTTAATAGGAGATACCTTTTAACCAACTAAACGTATTGGTTATAATCTTTTTTGATTTTTGAAAATCTTTACGTAATTATGAATTGAATGCAAAAAATCAGGTATTCACAGTAGACATAAAATTCAAAACCGTCAAAATCCTCAAACGAGATTAACAACTATTATTTTAACCAGTACCTTTGTGGTATTTTCCAGTATTTTTATGAATTTCTAAAGATCTGTGAACCTTCAGAAAAAATTCCTGTCCCAGATTTTAGAATCCTCAATTTTGTGGCTAGTTTTTGAGCATTGTTTAGTGTCGGGCACTTGGTTAGTCCCTTTTGATCGACTGATATCAGGTATCTCTACGCCTGAACATTACTGCAAGGGTAAAGTCAATCAAATACAATAAATATGCGTGGCTGCAAACCACCATGGTTCTTCAGCAGGCTCAATAATTCAACCAGAAGCTGAATGCCCACACGTTGTCTAACCTACTTTCATCCATTGATAAATAAAGACGTTTGTATGGAAGTCTTGTTTATTGCTTGCTCTAGTTGATTAATCGAAAGGATTCGAGCTCTCGCACACAATCACTAGTTTATATATAAGTAAACAATATTTTATTGTAAATAAAGGCCAGTTTTGATGCAACAATTTGCAAACATGCTTTTGTGGGGCAAAAAGATAGAATAATTGAAGCCATCGGATCAGATACCAGGCAACAAAAGGGCCTCTTCATTGCTTGGTGCAGTAACACAGCAAAATTTCTACAATGTTTATTTTTGGACTAATCATTGTGAACAAGAGTTCCTCAGCGTTTGAAAAGTTAGCTTTATGACGGTGGTGGGCTTTAGCGGATCCTTTCAATTAATCAAATGGCGCAACTATATCCAAATGAATGTTGCCTTTTTTAAACAAAGGTTTCGTGCCTTCACTCCATTTCCATTCACCATGACGTTCATTTGTAAATAAAATGTAGTGTTTTATCCGAAAAGTGGTCGCTTAAAAGCAAATGTCTGCCACAAAGGACTTTGAAGTTTAAGCTTAGTAGACTTTTTATAATGGCTGCTTGTTTGAATATACCTTTAAAATTGATGGGCAGGTAGTTGAAAAAGGAGATCAACACTGCTTTTCCCCAAAAACCCTATACTTTTCTTTGCAACCTCACAAATGGACAGTTAATAATGTCCTCCGTGTTAAATGGTTTTCCCTATGTAGGGGTCAACAATCGGAGTCGGGGGAAAAATTTTATGCCCCAGAGGAGATATAAGCAGTCATAAACGTGTCTGAAAAATTCTGTAAAATTGCATAATCAGACAAATGGTGAAACACTTTGAGCCAATTAAAATCCGTCCAAATTAATAAACTTACATAGCAGTTAGAAATCCTTATATCTTCGATGGCTAAAATTATTAAATAAAATTACGACTAGATTATATCTTGACAGAAAATGCGCCATCAGTGAGATGACATGAACATCATCACTTACGACCTTTGCCCGGGGGATTAGCTTATACGGCACTCTTATTATTTCAAGATTTCAAAAATGCAGATTTTGCTGGACTCAAGAATGTACACGTAATCATTAACCACAAGAAACCATTTGCATGATCTAATAGTGGACTCTTTTGCCGTCATGGTGTACTTTATTCCATAAATGCACCAGCACTTTAAATTCCTCGCTATGCGAGTACTGAATACCTACCACACCATTAGATTGTGATGACTCTTGCATAAATATGTATTTTGGAAGACAGACAGGCAGATTGGACTTACTACATGACTGAGAAGGTGACATCTTTTACCGCAAAGGAAGAAAAGATCAATTCTGATCCTTTGCAAAACTTTAAGTATTCGTGGAATTCCGCACTACCACGGTGCAAGATGCCTTCTCCAAAAAGCCTTCTCGATCCAAGGAACTGAAAGCAGAAGTTGAAGGAAACAAACAACTTTATTCAAAGTTATAAAGTGGTCATGCTTTAGATCAAAAATAAATGTTAACCTTTGAGTTCAGCACGCCTTATCTGTTGCAAATGATATAAAGTAATGCACTCAGAAATCCGTTATTTGACTTCTCTGCTAGGTGAGTAAAATGATTGAGCAAACTTATTACTTTCACACCGAATTCTTCTCACATCTCTTAGAAATTCCACAAAACATTAAGAAACTGCTCTGGCTCTCGGGTCTTAGCTGAATTTTGATTAGCAGGGGCATGGTACTTAGGTATATCTATCAAAACCACAGCAGGACCTACTATTAAACAAATAAGTAACATCCCCAATGCGGTGTTCACCGTCAATATTATCTAACCCATAAGTAGCAAAAAATTTTTCAAGTAGACTTGGTGCTCCCTACCCGCAATGAGTTCAAGAAGAGGGGTACACATTAAAGTCGTGCATTTAACTAAGCGGGGTTTTCCGACCCTCATCCCCCTTTACCCTCCTTTTTGGGTGTCGTGAGAGCACCCCGTTCAAAGCCTCCTAGTCCGCCAGATGAGGAGCAACAGGCATACTTTCGAGTTTTTCTTTCTCATCGTATTGTGGGGATAGTCAGAAGCGTTTTAAGCTTATACATGTTGACTTTGAGGTAGCTACAGTTGAATATTTTATCCATTCCTTATTTACTTTTCTTGGCAAATCGACCAAATTCTAAGGGAAATGCAACAAACTTTTTTGGGAGAAAAAAGTTCTCGCAACATTTGGAAAGAGGTCTTTTTAAGTTGTAATGGATGGAAGAGTTAATAATGCTGAAGGCTAACAGGTGAAGTTGTTAGCTTTCAACCCCATACCAAGCTAAGGAGAGAGGAGGGTGATTAGAACTTCAAGTAGTTTTCCTACCTCTGCCTTTAACTCAGGCTTTCAAGTGACAATAAAAGTTTATTTTAAATAAGTAAGCAGAACAAGTGGATTCAAAAGGGATAGCCTTTTGATTAGTGCTAGAAGGAAAATCTGAGATTATCATTAAAGGGGACTAAGAGGACAAATTGAAAAGTAGTAAGTTATTTGAAGCAACAGCCGCTTTTAGTTGAAGTCCAGGAAGTGATTTAGTGGACAACTCTAAAAACATTTACAAAATTCTTTTAAAAAAAGACCAAATATTTGCAAGAAGCACCACAAATCTCTTTTAGTTTGAAGTAACCACTATCAGAGAACATCACTTTGTGTGCCATTACATAAAGTGAAGAAAGTGTGATTGACACTTCAAGAAAGGTGATTAGAGGAAAACAGATGAAGGGAATGAGGTGAAGCACTATCTCCTCCCTCCCCTCCTTAAGTACACCATCAACGGTTTGGCGTTAAGGGATGTCAAGACTCTTTCAAGGCGCGACATCCCCAAATTAACCCGATTAATTAGAGGAAACAAAACTCTGCATCACTTCCTTAACATCACATTAAGATAAGTCGTGCAAAGCTTAAATGTAAAGTCTCTGCTGTTTGGACGGTGAGCTACACGCCATTTGGAAAACGGACAAGCTTGAGTCACAGCAGGTTGGTTCTATCTAATGTAATCCAATCCCCAGTAAAGACTTCCACGCCAGGAGACTGACGTGTCTGTTCTTCATGACGCAAACGTATCGTTGATTACATACAGTTAGCAAATTGTCATCACTTACAAAATGTCACCGCTGAAAATCCTCCCGTTCTTCTACTTCAAACGAAGTTACTTATATGCAAGAGAAACTCAGTCGAGAATTATTTAAATATATGAATTTTTTTGTCTCAAATGAAAACCTCCTTTAAGCATTCGAAAATGAATATATTTTTTCCTATTATATTCGCAGCTTAACGGTTTACATACATCATTTGTCTTTTAATCTAACGTGTGTTTTGATCTGTTCACTCACATGCCAATAGTGTCATGCAAAATGAGAGATTTCCTAGTCATTCCATTCATTTGGTGAAAGTTGAAACGCCGCGATTCAATCTAGACTAAGATCTTATAAGTGGGTACGGATGACTAATACAGGGGTGACTGAGTCCCCGGGTCTTGACTGTCCTTTAAGTGTGGAGCCGTGTTTGAGTCATCCATACTCTAGAGTCACGACTGTCAACCAGGTCTTAGAATGTGGCCAGATGGCAGGTGCGGTGGTGTTGTCCTAACCGTGCGCTCGATTCGTTCAAATGTGTCCAAACCATATACATGGTAGAACGTTGACAACTACAAAATTCACAAACCGTTGAACAGTTAGCAAATCTACTCATTACAATTGCAGCGTAGTGATGCTATGTTCTGCTTAACCATGTGTTGAACTACGCGGGAACTTTTGCTCTGTGATGTGACCCTCGGACCATGCTAATAATCCCTCAATTCTTCTGACCGCCTGTAGGAATTACCTACCATTTAAGTATAAGCATAGTATGTATATGTTTAAGGAGTTGGAGTGTAGCGCCTCGAATCTTCCCCGAGTTCACAATAAACTAAGGTGGTGCGGAAGCACATATTACTTGCTACCGTATGGGGAGCCAGGATACTACTAGCAGACATTCAAAGAGCATCCGTTAGAGTGGAAGTAAAGTCTTCAGAACCTGAAGTACTTACGTAGCTATCCATGCAGTTAAACAAAATATAGCATCACTTAAAAGAAATTTTCAAATTCAGGAGCTTAAGAGGCCATCCCACATCCACAGATGTTTTTTGTGAGTTCGGCTCTCTCATTACGAGAAAAAATTTGCATTATAGCCTCACAAAACGAAAAACAGCCCATTAAAAGACCAGCAGATATGAGGTAGCTGTAACTACTTAATTTCACTTATATGGCCCCATTTCAAAATTTTTTAAAAATTTATTAGCCAAACACTGTTGATAACTTATCTCCACCAGCCTTTTTTATATTTCCTCTATTTATTAGTAGAACTCCATTTGGCATTAGATTTTAGTCAGTTTGAGCACGTGCTCCTGAATCGCCACAAAATGGAGGATTTTTAACCAGTGAAATTCCCATGCGACAAGAGTAACATTCGTCCTCAAGAAAAACCGCCCGTAAATGTTCGTGATGTATCAGATGAGACTGAAGAATAAGGGGCTTAATTATCGCCTTTACTTCTGATTTTTCGCCTTAACCCGCATTCAAGTCATATTGTTTGCCAATTTTTGGGCGTTAACGGTACCTGCTCGTAAGGATGTAGCTAGGTAATGATTTTGTCGAAGCGATATATTCTCATTTTTTTGTAAAAGATTGTTCTTCGTTCATTTATGAAACGCCTTAAGTTAAACAAGGTGCACGATAAAATACTTGAGGGTAAATTTTAGACTCTTACCTCAAAATTAAGAGATCTGTCAATAATAAGTCTCTAAATTTCCTGTAAAGCTTTGGCTGATTTTTTCGAGTTTCAAATAAAGAAAATGCCTCATTTGGGGACCTAATCCGAATTTTGTCCTAAAAATCTGGACCGCTACTTGCAAAGCTAGCGTAGAGTATTTGAACCCTTGTAAACAGTTCAGTATTAAATGCCTTATAGAAACAAAAAAACTGAAACGAAACCATAAGCATAAAGCAAGTTTATCTTTTCTCCCTACACACACCTAGTTGAAAGACAAAATTCTGCCGCTTTGATGCAAAATCTTTAGAATGAATCGGTAACCTCTCAGTATGTGGTTAAATTGGACTGCAGATGGACTGCGCCCCAGTTCGCATGATTGAGTGTGCTTGTCCTTCTGGGACATTAACTAACATAAATTGGTTGGGTTGAAATTCGTGCAATTTCCTTGGAGAATGGGGCATTAAGGTCATTCAATAATTAAGAACTAAGGGAACCATAGGTGACGCTTTAGCAATAACTATCCAGATTTTCAGAGACCAAGGGTTTTAAAATGGTGCTTGATGGTTTTCAAGTGAAAGTGAAGAGGCAGTGTTAATCTTTTTCCTTTTTTTTATCAGGAAAATGCATTTTTGGATAGAAATTTTTTTGAGACATTTGAAGTTTGAGTAAGGAATTATTTTTGCATTCTTACGTAGCCTCAGACCAAAAAGTCGCTGAGACTTTGGGCTAGCTTGCTACAACTACTTCTTTCGACTTATGGCGACTTAAGAAATGTCGGTTGTTGCTTGTATGGATAACTATTCTTGGCCCATGTGCTCTTAATCATGTCATCAGCTCTCCCTCTAGTGGTTAAAATGCTCCTACGCAAAATGTTTTTTGAACTTAGTGGATGCGGATCAAGGTTGTCCATTTCAAAAATGGGTCCGAATTGGTAAAATTTTGTGCATTTGAATTAAATGTGGTAGCAGATGCATCGTTCAGTTGTGATTCAAACAAGTTGATCCTAATTACAGACCATCAGGTAACAATGACGGTGCAAGGTACTCAGGAGGTCTCCTTACTAAAAGCAACAGTGAAGAATTGCATTTTTGTTATTGACAAACCAATTGAGAAAAACTCCCAGTAGTATTCAACGCATTATCGGTAATCGTGTCATCAGGGAAGGGAAAGATAGATGGGTGCCGCTCATCAAATGTATTCCAACCCCATGAACTGACATCTGACAGACAATAAGCCTCAAATGCTAACACTTTGACTTTAAATTAGCTCACACATCTTATAAACACACCCTAAACTTCAGATTGCTCACTGACTAGCTGATAGACTTGAGATAAGAACTGGATTGTGCGTTGCAGCATTCGTGAGGCAAATCAACATATCATTGTTTATCACAACCCATCAATGCACTCGTCTTCCCCCTCCCTCCCTCCCCTTCTATCTCCACCTGCACGTATACATTCATGGCTTTTAAAGTGCCAGAGGACTATATTTGCTGCGTATATGCATGAGTGTTTGTGCGTGTATGATGAGCTGACGGTCTCATAGGTCATAGAAGCAATTATTTACCAGATATTGTTAACTCACTTATGGTCAAACGGAAATTTTAAGTGAGGTCAATCTACTCGATGGGATACAAGTGAAAGGAGGTGAAAAGTGTGGATCAAAATCCTTTTCTTCGTAAAGAGGCAAAAATAGTGAGCGAAACTAAAAAAAATACAGGTCTTATCCTTACATGACAACAAAAGGCTTCAAAAACCAAGGTTATGCTTGACAAAACCTCCAACCTACTGCAATCTGAGATGGGTTGGGATGTAGAGGGCGAGAGAAGGGAGGGCGAGGTGTTTAAATGCCTCATCCTCATCTTCCGCGTTATCATGATGGCATTTATCCAAGTGCTCATCATCCTGTCAAGCAGAGCAAACAGTTTCCTGGAGGATAAAAATGATCTAAAAATGGAAGTGCTTAGAATAGGAATTTAGGCTTCCAACGACAAAATGCTTTAAAAAGCGTACTCTTAGCTGGCATTTTTCTAGTTGAAGAAAGAATTAACCATTGTAGCGTTGATTAATCCAATGAATAGAATATTTGGAAAATTTTTTGCAGTTATTTACTAAACCTTCGTAGGACAAATCAAAGGGGAAGGCTTTAATAAAATAGGTCGTAAATAAGGTAACAAAGCGGGAAATTACTTCCATACAGTTTTATAAACAGTTTCTGAAACCACAGCCACAAGTAAACACAATTAAGTCAGGCGCTTTTCAGTTACTCACTTTTTAGGTTTAGTATTTTATATACTCTTTCTAAAAGTCATGTTCGTTATAAACTTCGACGATCGCTAAGTGGGACAACACAGCCGATCACCAAAGGGAATATTAATCACAATTTCCGATGAAATTTGGCTTCACATTATTCTTTTAGAACTCCACCATGTCCTCGAACATAAGTAGGCTTCTCGATAGGAAGGTATGAAACCAGAGACGGGTGGAGAGATCATCTCAAGTTCTATACTAGTGAAACCCTACGCCAATTTTTGCAGTTAAAGACGGAACTAGAAGTGGACTCTGGGTGCGGTTTAACCACTAGTCAAGAGAAGAGGTTGGCCAAAGCTGCCACTCGTGTAAAATTTGTTTCAAATTAACGCGTCTAAATGACTAAGAGTTCCAGGCCCGTTAGCAAATATTCTTTCATCATATGTAAAATTTAGAGAAGATGCGTTGTATTCCGAATTTTTTTCGCGTGAGCTCGGATGCAATCGTGGTGGCCAGAGTGGGAAACGGCTAGAAAACTAGACCTTTCATACCAGCAAAGCGCGTAGAACTGGAGCACGGAATCTTTAGCATTGACTTGAGCATTGCATACCCTGATGATCACCACTGTTACGCAGGCAAATTATTTCCAATGGTCTTGACCTTACCGTGATCGCTAGGACGTGTAGAATCCGCCCCCACATCATGTTTCCCAACTAAACGGACTCTTTGAGAGCTACTCGAGATGGCTGACCACCTACTCTTGAAAAAAAACTTACCTAAGAGAGCTAAAGAGGAAATATTGTTTGGAGCGTTGTGGATATCACCAGCTGCTCTTCAAACGTTCAGAGACTTATTTTACTCCACTTTGGTGTATTTTGAATGGGAAGGCATGTAAGCCCCTTAAATTGAAGGCTCAGGGCGCAATATAAGTTTTTAATTAAAAAGAGCGCGGAGAGGTAGAAGTTGATGCACTTAAAAAGGGAAGGTGTTGTGCTTTAAATTAACTAAGCGATAACAAAAGTCTTTCAGATACCGAAGGCAAAGTATCACTCACAACTCTTTTATGCAAGAATAAGCGCGTCTGAGCTCAGGCGAATGAACTTCGCAATATAACGCATCTTCTCTAGATTTTACATATACTTAAATTTTTTTTGCCAAGAAAGCAAGAAATTTAACGCTTTTCTTTCAATTCACCTTGTACTTTTCGAAGTGACTCTAGGCTTTACTTTTGAAAGATCCGCCGACACCGGTAAAAAAATTGCAGAAGCGAGAAAAGGACCAACACATAAGTTATTCATCAAGCCAACAGACACCGACACAGATACCGTGCTCTGGTTGTCTACAGTGAGCATCTTCTCCCCGTGTTTTTTTTGCATCGCTCTGTTTGAGATCCCGAGAGCCCTCGTGCTCACGCAAATGAACACCAGAGCACGAACAATTATAAGAGACAGCATAAACAAATAAGTTTGAGCAAAACAGACGTTTTAGAAAAGCTGTTGAAAACAATTATCTCTTGATTGATAAATTTAAACACTTTTGCTGAATTACTTGCAAATAGTGCAAACTGTAAAATCTTTTATTCTTTCCTCCAAATCTTCCAAGTTAATGCACAGTTAACCTTCTTTAATTTTTGGGTAAAACTAATTTCAGTTTCGAATAAAACGGTCGTCCCTTTTTTATGGGTGAATTTTCTACATTCCAGTCACTGAATTAAATCAACTAGTATAGCAGGATGTTTAAAACCGCAGGTAATTGACGTTTTCCTAGAGAAACAAGAGGAAGCAAGACATTTAACTTGTTCACTTTAATGCAAAATTTGACAGGAAATCACTGACTATATGAACACATACACATGTAAGCAGCTCCCATTACTTAACAGATTTGGTGAGAAAAAGATAAAAACATTAATTTCCTTGTTGAATTATGACTTCCGTACTCTGAATTGCCAATGGTTTATGACACAATTCAACAAAAACCTTTTGTCAAGATAAGCTTGCCTTCTAACAGAGCGAAAAAGTGTTTGTAAGGGTGATAAAACATGTTTTCTCCACACCTCGCCACTTTTCCTCCTTGTGTATTTTAAAAGACCTCTTCCAAGAGCAGGTATTCAAAAGTGCATCTGATTAGGTGAGAAAACGAACAAAACAATAAATTGGCCAAGTAAGATAGTGGTGATTTTACTGTTGCAGTGCTAATTATTACGGTGTGGATAGATCACTTTTGAGGGGAACAAGAAAGAGACAATACAAACTTCTCTTGAAGAATTTTGGGTGGTATTGTCAGTACCGGGCTATTAAATGTCCAAATTAAAATCAAGTCTTAGTCTCAATCTCAAGGTTTAATTATGAGTAATTTGACAGAGTTCTTTTAGCCTCCAATTGTCACATTGAAGCAATGTAGAGATTTGAAAGGCGAAATCATTTTCACCTTAAGTTGATATTTATGGAAAGACTCTTTTCACAAAGGATATAATTTTTGAAAATGGGAAAGCATCTACACCTCCGTCAAAGTTTACTACCCAGTCTGTGGAAGCACTTCTAAATCTTCTAGTGCAGTTAAAAAGCCACTTTAATTTTAAGCAAGTACCAATAAATGTACCGAAAATTGCACTCCCATTCGTGTGGCTATTTGGCAGCTCATACCACTTATTATTCATCATCAGCCCCAAATTATTATCCCTTTTGGAGGATAGCAGCGAAGGGTACCGCAAAGTTGACAAATGTCCCTGATCTGCTTGTAAATCAGTCGGTCATGCTGTTTTCTGTTCAGCTCACTGCGATGATTTCTAGTGGCATGCAAAATGCACAAATCTATCGGTGTAGTAGCCGTTGCTTGTGCCTCCTTACTTACATCCCCTCTTGCTGCTGTCACAGATGACGAAAACCACCTTATATTATCTGCTCTGCGAACTGATTTTAATTCGGCTCTATAGCTGTAGAAGCACCCTTCAGCCTTTGTTTAGTTTCGTTCCAACGTGGGGCGCATAAAAAATGATGATTCAAGGGGTGGTGTTTAATCAACTATGGGAAATTATAAGATAGACTTGGCAAGCACAGCTTTTACTGTTTATCGTAGGATGAGTGACAAGAGCAGCGAAAGTCGTGGAAGCCACTAAACTAGGTGGCCTTATTTATGCCTTTGCCTTACTTCACCAAAATCCAGTTTTAAATTGTCCTTTAATTGACTGGCTGCTGGGGGTCCCTGCAATCCCATAGCGTTTGCAACACTGTCATGCGACAGAAAATGGCCTTCGTGCCTTCGCCTTTCAACATTTGATATACAAACGAATGTCGGCAATGCTTTGTCCCCAAGGGACCCAATTGTTAACTCTACGCTTTTAGGTACAGAATAATTCCCTCAAAGCTATGCCATATAGCGTGCTTTATATGTGTGTCCGGTATGCAGCAAACATAGTTCTTTTGACTTTTTCACCTCCACATCGTCAAAAGGCAGCCTTGTTCGGTCAACCTTCCACCTACTAGACACAACATGTTCAAATGGAACTCAAAAGAGCCGGAATTAGTGACTTTGTTGGAAAACATTGCTGCTCTTACCCTCCCCTGACAGGATAGTGCAAAATAACAAAGCCAGCATTTGGTTGAGGTGCAAAAAACCACTCCCTATTCCTCTCCCTCTTTTCCTTCCACATCCTCGTGCTCCTCATTCTCATCAGTTTTGATAACATTTCTCATATTCCTTGTTTTCAGTTCTGTTTTTGATCTCGTCCCCATTCTCATTCACATTTCCATTCCCATTCTTTACATTTCCCTGATCACGGCGCCAACACACTGAACAGTCACATGATTTCATTCAAAGTGGACGATTTCTTCGGAGGTTAATTTTAAACTGAAACAGATGAAACTGATGGTGAATCACTTTAATGTATTGACCGCTAAAGGCAGAGTACGGTGTCGAAGGGACCTTCGCAGACAGCTTCCTTGTTTTTGAAGAAGCCGTTGTAAAGGGTCGGTTGCAAAAGGGCTACAGCATGTACTATTAACTATTGCCACAAATAAAATATTTCCCGAACTTTTCCGCTACCATTTTACTTTTTCCAAAAGAAAAATTGTACGCACTTGGTTCCCTTGTGTATTTGAGGTTTACCGCTTCCCGATGGAATTGAGGTTGCTGAAGATATATACTTTCCCCTACCTTAAATTTAGTTAGCTCGAGTGTGGGAGTAAAAGAGTAGCCTCATACTTATTTTTAAGAAATTAGCTTGGGCTTGAAGCCTTACTGTTGAATCCAAAGGTTTCCAGTTAGCAGAATACAGTACAATTTAGGCATTTTAGTGCATTCTGCCTTTTCTGTGAAGGCTCGCTAATTTTATCACCTCTATGATGTTTCCATTTCAAAATGACGCGCTTTCTAAAATGATCTTCTCAAAGTGATAAAACTGCACAAAGGAAATTCACTTAATTTGAAATGTGCATTTAGTTTAGAGTCCTTTATTAATCGTTCCTTCATTTCTTTCTATATTTTTTGATAGTGAAGGGGTACATGGACTTGAGGTTTTCCAATCCACTCAAATCACCACAATCGTGCATTCTGTTTGAACTCTACGACAGTATTTGTTGCAGATCTATGAATGCTTTTTTCCTCTTTTTCATGAGTGTCCCTTTTAAATAGGCTTTGCAAAAAAAGGAATAGGGGTGACATATTCTCCAAATGCTGTGCTTTGTAACTTTTGAATCATTTTAATGTGCAGTAAAGTGCGTTACGCTCTATGAGTTCCATCCATTTATGCGACAGGGTTCGAGAGCTCCAGGATCGGCAACTTTCTCCCTTACATGAGGTGATGAGAGCTTACTTAGTACACCGCCGGTGACATGTTGCCACGATTCAGAGTGCAGGGAGATCCGACACCTCTACTAAACTATGATGCAATTTTACCCAGCTACCTTTCTGTCAATTATGGCATTTAGCTCCAGACTCCGTTCCATATTCGATTCCTGCAGTAGTAATTGCAGGGTTTCGTTCTCTCTTCAGTAACAGCTCATTGAGAGTGAATTGACTCCACACCTGACAAATTCTCTGTCTTTATACAAAGAAATTCGATTCAAGGAGGAGTGCCAAAGACCGGCCAGGCAAATCTCAAAATTCCATCAAGAGCCATCTTTTAAAACAATCACAAAATTCGTTCCAGAGAGGACCAAAGCCACGACTCTATGACTCTGATATAACATTAATGTTTGAGAATTTTTCTAAAGTGTCCCATCAGATATCTACCCCATGAGTAAAAAGTTCATCAGATTTCCGCATTTGGGAGTAAAATGTGTGTTCTCCCATTTCAGGAGTCTGTTGTCACTGACAGTTGGGAAAAACGTTCAGACAAAATTATGTGTCGGGAGTTGAAGAGGGAGAAGTAGATAAAACACCTCTCTTTTTTAGACAACCTGCGCCATAATATATTCGCTTCGAGCAGAAAAGTTAAACTCAAATTTAGCTTTAATTTTTGCCTATTTTAAATGCCTATCTCTTGATCATTCCCTCACCAGTAGGGCATTCTTCCGAAAGTAACAACTCTTCCTACCCACACTTGACCTTATTTCATTAAAAATGACTGTTTTGAGAGTTTTACTGCGTCAAATGACCATAGTCTTTTGTCAAATAAGGCTTGCGTGGCATAAGCAACTTATTTTCAGGTGTCTGAAAAAATTGCCACCAAAGTATGGTTAATAGGGATGTTAAAAGAATGGTGGATGTGAAACAGGCCACTCTGTAAGATGTGCTCCTTTGCGAAAGAACCGCTACCATGTGGTCTTTTTAGAGTAAATTAAAAAGTAAAACAACCTCTTACCGTCGCCTTTAAGGAAGTTCAGAAGAGGATTGGCGAGATGAAGACATTACAAAGAAGAAAAGTTGCTTAGATTTGGAAACAAAGAGACTATCCATCAACGCAGTTAGAAGGGTAATCCAATTTTTAATTCTCATTTTATTCAGGCGTTGCTCTCCTTTAACACTTCGTGACAAAAATCACTTGACAAATTGAATCCATTAAAAAGACTAGATGGGTGGATCCCTTTTACTGGGATAAACAGTCAGCTAACGAGTCCAAGTAATCTTAAAGAAAAAAATTTTAGGTTTTTAAAGCTTTAAGACGCGTTTATAATTTTTTAAACTGAACGAAGTTCATAAACCATGGCAAGATGTACAAAGGCAGTTGCTGCATCAAGTTTTACATTCACGGTTCTCCTCTTCGAGACCTTTATTCTCCTTTCACTTTTTAGAGAATAAGTTAATGCAATCCCTTCATTTAATAAAGTTTTTTGGCATAATTCAACTTTTGTACTAGTTATTTTCTAAATTTTTATTGTTCCACAGACCCGCGTCGATTTCAAATGGTGAACCAAATTTTTTTTAAATAGAGCATCCTTTAAAAGAGGCCCTTTTGTAGAGCTGGGGTAAAAATTATAAAGTAGAATGTCTAAACCATAAATTTGATCCAACTTATGCCAAGAAAAATTTATTGACCTGTAACGGATTGGGACTGCCATAAATAAGTATAAACTTGATTTTTTCCATTACCTTTTTAGAACCTCTTCTTCTGCAAGCTTAGGCAGAAGAAGTTTGCATTTGGCTCATTTCTAACAATGCTTTAGGCAATTGTCTGCCAACTGGTTACAGCATGGGTGTCAGCACACTTCAGAGAGTTAAGGACTAGGCTTCGAACGGGAAGAGAGCGTAGTATTTTAGTCGTTACAACCTTCTACCTCACGATTTGTGACCTTTGACGAAGTAGAATGGTTAGAAAATGACGTCTTTTATTGAACTATGTGGACTCTTACAAATAATAAGCGTTTTAAGGCAAGATAGGTATTCGGCTTCTTCTAATAATCCTCCTTCTTCTTGGAAATTGATGACCCCTTCTCAGTCATTAGGTTGGTCTCATCTGCCAATAGTTCAAGTGACAAGGTAAGTAGAAACAAACCTGCATTATGGAGATTTCCTATGAGGTAAGAATCTTAATCACACTTTGTATTACTATTTTAAGGGGTATCCTTTTTGGCCAAAGAACACCTTATTCATCGTCTTTTATGCAAAACATTTGTTTTTTTTCCTCGCAGTGGTTAAAGACACATTTATGATTTTACTCAATTAGCCCAATCATTAATATATGAATAAAGCCTAAAAATTGTTTGCTGTGTTTTGGGTTACAAGCGGCAAATAAGGCACTATGAACAAATTTAGGCTAGGACCAAATTTTTTAATAGATGGGTTTTGTAGGTAGAGTCCCTTTCAGTAACCAGAAACCTCATGTTACCTAATGCCAGTAATAGCCTGCAAAAGCTCTAGGCTATCTTTAGCTCCTCTTCATAGATAGCTTTTTCAGTCTGGTTGTCAAATCAGCAATGTATTCATTAATGATGTCTCCATTAGGTTAAAATTTTGAAAAGGCATTCATGTATATGCATACGGTGCTTGTGTTTTCAAGCTCGCCATTCAGGTAATAAAATAGGTACAAAGCACTAAAAATTAACTTCCCCTTTAAATCTTAAATCAAGCACAGACTTGGTGACAAAAGGTCAGTTCAAGTAGAAAGATTGCCTTTTAAACTTTTAATAACGGAAGATTAAGATCATATGATTTCTTCTTGGGAATCGGTTGAACAAATTCATTTTTTAATGCTCTAATCTTTTATCTAGAAACAAAAAATTACACTTTGATGGTAGTCAATGATAAGGATTTCTCTTGCATTGGTTAAAACGTCTTACATGCATCTGTTTATTTTGTTCAAGTTCGTGTAAATTTGCAAGGGATGGTGCATCTGAACCTGGGTTAGGGCAAACATCAAGGTCTGATCTAGGTAAAAGCACTCGCTTTTCAAAACTTTTGTGATCTGAAAGGAGACAAATGCTCATTCACGCCAGTCATTGCTGAAATATAGGAAAGGCAATTTCTTTCATAAAAGTATTTATAATCTGCAGCCTTTTAAAGTGTTAAACATGGCTGCCCTTGAACGCATAATATGTTGATCCCGGGACCTCGTACTTATCAGTTCCTGCTTGGGTGAAAATTTTGCCTATTTTGAAGACGAGATCACATAAATGTATCATATACATCATTTTTCTCACGTAATACTGTAACATGTCCGTTGCTTCTTTTTTCTAACCCTGCCTTCAGACCCTTGAATGGAGAAGACAAACCACGGGAAGACACCTCACGTCCTGTAGTATGGAAGGAGGGGTTTACAAATGATCCAAGTTTTATAGGATGCACCAGTGTTCGTCTCCTCCATGGGTGTCAGTGACATCCGCCAAGCCAAGAGGCCAATGCAGTCTGACCGCTTTTCACATGCGAAGTGCATTAGAACAAACGTAAAAGACTTTTAGAAACAAATTAGACTTAAAAGAGAGAAAGCGCTAAAATTGCTGCCAAAAATGGGATATTATGCAATCTTTGATACTCAAAATCCAGAAACTTTAGCGAGATATTGCTTACCAAAGGTATATTTTTCTCTTTATAAAAGAACTGCCCCTTTTTATTAGTCTTTACTAATAACTGATACAGGAGATCATGAGTGATCTCCTGCTAAGACAACAATGCTTGGTAGCAACCTTAAAGATTCAAGAAATCCAGTGATACAAGAACTTCAGACTGACAGTGAAGAACAAAGCTCGACAGAGAGTGAACCCGAAGCTCTTTTGTCATCCATCGTAAAATCGAGCAATTTTTCGAATTTACTTACAAAGGGCAGCTCAAGTAGGTGAATTTGTAAAAAAGAGCGAATATTTTTGTTCTGAAGGACATATTTAATGATAAGAAATTACTTTTGGTTTTTAATGTATCTCACGTGTTTTAAGGTACGGGAATGTTATAAACTTCTGGTGTCTATCGAAACCAGTACCCATTACCGTGAGTTCTACCACCTGCTTGCTTAAGTTGACCTCTCGCTCCTCAAGTTTATTTGCTTCACGGCATTCCAGAAATGAGAAATCCTCTATTTACTGTGACAAACTGTCCCATTAAATAGTGGTTTAAATAAGCAACTTGATTCTAGTGGTGAAGTAACAAATGATGGTCCACTCCTTTTTTGTAACCAAGTGAGATCGACATGCCAAGAATAAATTACAGTCATGCCCAACGTTAGGTGAGAGATAAGCCAATTTAGTTGCATCTGCATTTACCGAATAGGGAAAATAATCAAAGCTATTCAGTGAATGCCTACCATTCACGTGCGCTAATGGGTGACTGAAAACAAGCATTAGCTGTTGAGTTCCAAAAACATGTCATACTATTTTGCGTATTTATGTAATGAAAAGCAAATTGACTGACTTGAGGAGAAATGACTTCTGTACTGCTGTATTACGTGAATTAAAATTTCGTTTATTGCCCCCTAACGATCACTTACTAACTCTCCACTTCTATGGCACAAGGTCATCCCCACAAGTTCGTAATTTATGTGTGGAAGATACGGAATTTGTTTATTAAAACTTGTTCATTTCCTCATGGTTAAATATCACCCACCTACTAGTCATAATATGATTCCTAAGAGCTAAAATAATTAAACAGTCGAATAAGTTAGTAATAAATTGTTACTTATGCCGTGCCCTGACTAGACGGCGCAAGATCACATGACCCGCTTTGGGATGGGAGGCAGATACCACTGTTTCAGCCTCTCCCTCTCCCGCTGCCTAAACCTCTACCTAGCCCTCATCTTACTTCTCATTCACATCAGCCTTGACCTCATTTCTCATCCTTGTTCCCAGTCTCGTTCCACTCCTCATTTGCATTGAATTCGCATTCTCCTTTTTGCCCTGAGTGTATTGTAGCCAAGTGAAGCATATCATCATTGTAAGACACAGTATAGTCACAAGATCACACTCAAAGTAGACAATAGCTTGGAGGCCAAATTTGAGTTAGAAAGAGATGCGCCAAACCATGAACTGTTTTCCTTTTTAATCTCGGGCAGGTCATCATTATGTCCAAGTGTCATTCGCATCTAATCACCTTGTATTGTAAAAGAGCCACACGATGTATTGATAGTTGCTTTAGCAAATTACATACCTGCCAAAGTTTGCTACTGTCAATTAGTTATATTTAAAAAAGTTTTACGTGCTTACTTGGTTACCTTTTGAACTTTGGAAAATGCAGATGCCCAAGGGATCTACTCCCTTTTCAAAACTAAAAACTCCGTTTAGTTTAAGTTTTGTGCCTGGTTTACTTAAACACCACCTCATTTACTTGCGTTACCGCCCCACGTCCGCACAGTAATGCTTTGTAGGTGCAGTGGGTGGTATATGAGCAGGCTTATTAGAACTTGTTCCCGTACGGACGACCAGAGAGATACGTTGGAATCTATCTGCTAGATACAGCTAGATAAAACTTCGTGAAGAAGAAAATCTTAAAACATTCAGAGCTAGCCTATCAGTCAAATTAAGGCCCACTTTTACAAATAAAACCTGTCGTGCTAAAAGTGGTTATTGCCAAGTTTTTTGCTTCAAAATACAAGATGTTTCAGACCACTAAAACCCTTAAAGTCGTGATTTGTTTGAAGGTCATGTCAAGTTGAGATATTGTCGACTACATTTTGGAAGATTGAATAACCACGCTACTGTCTTCTACCTTCGCTTTACTTCTAATGCCCAACTGAAAAGTTGATTAACCCAGATAGACCTCCCACATACTCCTATGACCTGCGAATACTAACCTCACCCATGCCGCCTTCTTATAAAGTAGACAATTTTGGACAGAATTCATAACTTCCTTCAGAAGAATTCATGAAGATCATATGCGCTTGAGTTGAGATTGACAGTAATTGAAAGCCAGTAGCCTTTAGCCATGTGCGTCACATTGAAGGTTTTTATGTTCAGATTGGGGAAAGAACAATTCTCTGAATCACTTGCATTACTTATATAGTGCACAGAATGTCCACTTCTTCCTAGTAGTAAAATCCTTTTTTATATACTCAAAGGCGCACTACAAAATAGCCTGAATAAAAATGATCAGCACTATCGAATTCTTCCCACTCAAGGAAAGACACTTTCAAATTTTGTCCTTTTCTTAAAAATTTAGTCTCTAAAGAAGTAAAATCTGTTTTCCCAAGGCAAGACTTTTTCCCTTTATAACGGAATTCAATCTAAGAAAAAACCAAATTTTGCATCCGTTTAAAGAGAAAATTTCCTTAATTAAATGTAAGTTCCCTCATTTGTGCGAAAACGTATCTAGATTTTTAACAAATGCCACCTCTAAATTAATCCATTTCAACTATATCTTGTATCTTTAATGTACCAGCTTAAAAATCTAACAGAACTTAAGGGTATATTCATTATTTGCGTAGAAAAGGCAATCGTTGTTAATTCATATTCTCTTTTTCACGTCTACCTTCACGGCACATGAGTTTGAAAGAATGCTGAAGTTGGCTTTTCACATGAAAAGAGTCATCCTCAAATAGCACGGCAAGTAAAACGCCTAAAAGGGTGAGTAGATTTGTTTAACAAGTGAAGTGAAAGAAGTTTTTAGTTCCCATTATTCATTTGGCTCACGAATATCCAGTTTAATCTATGGTCTGAAGCAGTGGTCTTAAGATGATGATCTACTTAGAAGAAAAACAGAATAAGCAAATGCTCAGCTTGACGCGTTTCTTTGATAATTTTAACAAAATATAGCTGGACTTTGAGCTAAAAATTGGACTTCCATAATAAGGAATGCTTGGTCAAATTTTATCAGCATTTGATTGGATAGTGATATCAATGCTGTCTGATTGGTTTACTCAGGGTATAATATTCCGAATCCACGAAGATGATGCCTCAATTTAAGAGCATCGAATGGCCCAAACCAATGCCTTTAGGCCAAGTAGGTCCTATCAAAACCTCTCCCTGCCCACCGAGGGCAGCTTGGAGGCCTACGTGTTACAAGTTCTCAATATCTCTGCCAACTCTTCAATCTTACATCTTCTCAAGTCCGAACTAACCTTTCTTCAGGAAGCCAACCATCTACGCGGATCAGAACTCATCGCGTTAATCACGGTAAATACAGCGTTGATGATCTTTGGAGCCGCTGGTGCGCTAATACTGATAGCCGCGGTGGCCCGTAAACCACGACTGCGAACCCCTCGAACCTTGCTCACTGTGAACCTTGCTGTCTCTGATTTGACACTGTGTCTCTTCACGCAGCCGTTTAATCTCACTCGCACACTTCACTGGCATTATGAGTGGCAATTTGGGGAGGTTATGTGTAAATTCACCTCCTTCGCTCAGGCTACCAACGTCTTTGTGGTGACTATGAGTATCACTGTCATTGCGCTTGAGAGATTCAATGTAAGATTTTACGCTTTGGTTTTTTACTATTTTAGATCTTTTCCCTCTAAATTATAACAAACTTTAGGGATTTTCCCATTCCTATTCCTCGGATTAAGTATAAAGCGAAGTAACTAATCAAAAATGGGTTTGCTCGAAGGCTACTCCAAATAATTTTGTAAATCCAAGCAACGCTTTTGGTCCCGAATATTAATCATTCAAATACCGTAGTTTTTGCACCCCTTCTCTTTAAATCACTACGAATTCCTGCTATATTTTATTGCGCAAACCATTATTTTCCTTTTATAGTCGAGAAAATGATTAATGTGCTCGCGTTTTGTAATTCATTGAACTCAGATAAGTATGTAATTGAAATAAAAGCAGTTCATTTCTTCCAGCTTAAATAAGTTAAAACGGTGCCTTAAGCTAATGGAAGGTATCTCTCCATCTAAATTGGAGAAGGGCAACACTTTTTTCTTTAAACGAGGGTAAATTATTTTAAGCACTCCTTCATAGCTAAGGCAGAAGTTAATGCGGCCATTAATTTTTGGTGGGAACAACTACAAAAGACTTCCAACATGGTTTCCTCTTAATTTATGCTTGCACTGCGTTCCATAAAAAAATAATTTAAATATGCCGTTGGAGATGGTAGGATCTTACTCGTTCAATTAAGTTGGAGTTTTCGTTAATATCCAAATACCATAACAAAAGGTTGGCCTTATGCAAAAGTCAGTTTTTTCCGGTAATTTTGGGTATCGCAATAAACACAAGTTTTAGAAAAGCCAATAAACTAAATTCTACCGTTTTAAAACTATATTTGAACGTTTATTTTGCTGGGATATTTTAATTGCTCAGTAAATTGGCTTCCACCCAATCCCTTTAATTTAAAAAAAGAATCGAATTTGGGAAATGGAGCAAATCAGGAGTGAAATAATTATTTTTATTTTAAGGTAGGTATTTTTATTTAAGGCCTAAAAGACCTAAGACTAAGGTTCTGTTTGGAAAATTCCATTTATAAGTCCGGATCTTTTCCTGCATTTTGAAACAATTGAAGCGATGAAACGAAATTCATCCTTTCAGAATCGGTTTAATTAGTTATGCAAGGTGAAGTTAATTAGTTGCCTCGCAACTGCGCCCCCATTTAATTTCCTTATTTTTAGAAGTTGGCAATACCTTATTTGGAAATTTGAGTAAATATGAGGTGAAATAATTAATTGCATTCCTCTTTGTGATACAAACATTTTTGGGAATAGCTGATAAAAACTGATCAACTGTTTTTGAGCAATCCATCGGTATGCTTTGTTCATTTTAAGTTCCGCAGATAGTGTATCATGCTAAAATTTTTGCGCAGCCAAACAAATTTAAGCTTACTAACTTTGAAATTACACAAAAATTGTACTCTTGTATATGCAGAGGACGACTGCTTCTAGTAAAAAAGTAGAGCAGCTAGTCTGTTTTCCCTTCCTTCTATTTCTGTGTGCAGCTGTCAAAACCACCGGAAATCGAAAGTCACGGTTTTCCTGATTCAGGACTTTATAGTTGAAATTTGATCTTTTGATTGCGCACAGTCAGATTTTAATGCAAGAAATGGCCAAATTTGAGGAGCTCATTTTATCTGTAAGACAACTCATGCTATATTACGCGTTGCTTAGAGGCCGCTTAACAGGAAAGGTGGACTAAAGAGAGCAAAAAGGACCTTAGTAAAAAAAAGAGTAAGTCCAAAATCGGTACAAATTTTTTATTTACCTTGTTCTACCCTAATTATCTAGGGACAATCCGATTTTTCATTCGTCACAAAAAAGAGTGAGGGGTGACTGAAGTAACGACTTTCTCTCCCGATAATATTATTCACCCAGTAACTTAATTTATGTAAAATAGTAAAAGACAAATCTCTCAAAATTGTAAGGAAACCAAAGGAAATGTGAGGCTTATTTGCTACCTTTTTTCTTTTAGCAAAAGTTTTTCTTCTCACTTAACTTTGGCAGACTCAGACTTATTTATTAAGCTATAACAAAAAAAAATTTTGTGTGACTTTCCATCTCCCAGTGATTTTCTCACAAACAGTTACTGTATACTAATACCTACTGGCTTAAAACTTCCTTACGGTGTTTTTGCAGAGAAATGGGAAATTCTTTGATGCATGAATTACGAATGAATAAATATCTTGATTCATAATTGGCAAGACAGAGACAATTATGCGGATCCATTTTTTAAGTTAGGATCTTTTATTTTTGGCATATTCTCATCAGGGCCATGTCATTCAGAAAATACTTCCACCTTCAAAATTGGCGTAATGCTTCTGCTTTACGTTAAATATGTACAGGACATTTCATTATCTTGTAAACAAATTCAAGATTATTTGTGGGTGCACATAGTAGACGCAAAATGCGAAGGAAAAAAAGGAAACATTCTTCAAAATTTAAAGACAATCAAGACTCCATGACTTCTTCAGCACCTTACAATAAAGAATGAGACTTTATGCTCGAAACCTCGTATTTTTGAACAAATAGGACTCGAACAAATGTGAACTTTGTGGGCTAAGAGAGCTCTTAAAGCTCTCTGGTCTAAATGCTTCCAATGTCTACAAAGATTCATTCAAACTCAGCTTCTCTTTCTAATGATGCTTAAAGCTGCTTTTTCCTGTCACTCCCTAAAAATACCTACTGACTGAGAATATATGACCAGCAAAGAACTTCACGATTCTTAAATTCACGACTCGTCCGTGATTAGGCAGGTTAATAAATAAAAGCAGTGGTAAAACTATTTAAAATAACCTGCTGATACAGAAAAATACCTAAAAAAGTCGCCTACGGGAAATAGCTCATGGCCTTTGAAAATAGCGCTGCGCATGTTTTTTCCGCCCTTTCAATATGGCCAAAATCTTCCAGCATCGTGTAAACAGTGAAAAATTACAATGTGGCACACCTACCGGACACAAAACTGGGCACTCGAAGGGGACCGGAGTAAAAACGCTAATAAATTGTGCAAAAAATTAAAAAAAAGATGCTTCACTCTCGCTCTTTCTTCTAATAAATAAGTCTTTGGTAGGTAACAAATTTGTGTGACAAGTGGATGCTAGAAGCACCTTAGACCGAAGTAAATTTGGAATTAATAAAGATTTTGTCTCCCTAAATCTCCTTCTTCCATCATGTAAAAAAATATTTATGAAGTTAACAAGCACCTTCTCATAACTCGTCCAAAAAGAGGACGGAATGAATACAAAAATTACATTTCTCACATTTGTCATGCGGTGGAACTATTGTACGGGCAGAAAGTATACCCGAGAGGAAAGTTTATTTTTCATCGGCCTCTTCACCTAGCTCCTGCATTAATTATGATTTTGCGCGAAAAAAGGACCTGTTTTTTTCCTTGCATTTAAAGCAGCTTGTAAAAGTAATTTCGCTCCCAACTACGACTACCTCCTTTGGAATTACCCAAAGTGACACAAAGAAAGGGAGTAAAACTTTTCAAATTGACGTGTTTTGACCACACTTTACTTTGTGCTCCAATAACTCATCTCAAAAATGTCGTGTCAGCCTTAATAAAACAAGGGAAAAGAGGCAAAAGTGATGTGTCTTTTCTCAGCTGCCTTAATAAGTCGAAATCGTTTGCACATATGCAAGCGTTTGTGTGCGAGACTCTTTGCCACACCTCATGAAGGAGAATGTGCTAATCACTAGCTAACATGCGGTTATGCGAGTCGCTTAACGAAAATGACTCAGTAGGATCGACAAGTATAAAATATCTTCTTTAAAAGGCTTATATAAACAAATGATATGTCCCCTCCTTCCATCCCAGGATGCCCTGATAGAATGTATAAAATAGTCCAAGTTTTGTGAACAAAATAGTAAAAGCAGTTTAAAATTTTAAAATGCGAAGTTTTTTTAAAGGAAAAGTAGTTTAATTTTTTTCCATTTTTAAATGAATTATTATTATGTGATGGCTTTGATGAAATTGACAGAAAATAATGATAATTTCTTGCAATAAATGGTAGAGGCGGGTAAACTGCCACGTCAGATGTCAGACTTATGCTGTTGATTATTTTCTCTTATTTGGCAGGTCACTTAAAGATGATGGTAATCATTCTATCTTTCCTACTTCACAAAACGAAGTTAACTCCATTTTAATGGTGCGGATGTAGATACTTTAAATGAACAGCAGTATTAAGATATTTTGCCTAAAAAATATCCACATTTTATTCATAATTCAGGTAAAGGCTCACCAGTTGATGGTGCCTTACATCCAAAAAAGACAACAACTTTTTTAAAGAGAGAATTACTGGTCGCTGCTGCCATGCTAATTTTCAGTTTACGTGCCAATGGTAACCTGCAGCCTTGTTCAAACAGAGCAGTTTAACAACTAGCTTGTATAACATCAGAGAGGATAAAACCGAGAAGCCGCTTAAGCAGTAAAATAAGCTTATAGACGCATTACTTTGTTCTTCAATACTTCCATAAACGTGTTACACACCTTAGGTTGCCCGCTCATAAGCGAAATGACCGACTTAAGGGAGAAGATGGGACACAGGATTTGCCATCCCCAAGAGACCCGCTTATACCTGCATCGTCCATTAGTCTTCAGAAATATATGCCTACTCTTCAAACGCGACTGTTCATCATAATTTTTTAACAAAAGGCCGAAAAACTGCGACTGAGATCTGCTCGATGCAGACTGAGTGTGTACAAGAAGATCAATTCTACAGAAATAGCCACAACTAGTGTACCGGTCTCCAAATACAAGACACCTTATCTCTAGCCTAACCCCTTGAGATTTTCACTTTAGAATGGAGTAAAGGTGCCGACTCCTCACTTTACCTTTTTTCCGCATTCTACAATGGAGCCAGCCCCTTTCCCATAGATGGTAAATTTTTGTATGAAATAAAGTACAGAAGAAGTAAAAGTGAGGTAAGAAGGGGCTGGCTACAACGAGGTTTTACTGTTTCCCAAGAAAATCTGTTTCACCACCAATAGTAAAATTTAATACGCCACAAAATGCATAAATTTATATGGTCCCTTCTCATGCTTTTTCGTGAACTGCAGCCCTCTTAAATTCATTCAAGTCATTGATTCCTTCTTGAATTTAGCGGAAACGAAAAATTCTATTAACTCCTAAAATTTAAACAGGTAGCACCTTTACAATCAGGCACCACCGTCTACTATACAAGTGAACTTGCAAACTTATAAATGGGAGAATTCCACCAGTCTTTTTTTTACTTTCAAGTTTCAAAAGCTAAAATGAAGTAGATTTAACCAAAAGTTTATGAGCCAAAATTATCTTTCACTTGTTTTCCAGAGATTTTAACCCGTCGTCCAGATTCCATCTCACATATACTTTCAGCATTCATAAACCACTTGCCGAAATAGAATTAAAAGAGTAAGTCGGACTTTTGCATGATATACTTATAATAATTCTCTCAATTTTTGAAAAGATGACGATAAACATTCAGTATAAACGCCAGTTTGCCTGATAATGGTATATCGCTCACCAAGAAACGAATTGACACTTTTAGATTCATCCAAGGGAAACACTAAGG